GCGTTGGGATGGCCAGTCGGTCTCTCACCTTGCCCAGGGTCCCAGGACCCGCTCAGATGTCGGACGAAGGAGGAATAGAGATAGAGAGTGAGGAAGAGAAGGAGGAAGAGGAAGAGGAAGAGGACGAGGACGAGGAGGAGGAGGAGAAGGATGATGATGATGATGATGATGATGATGATGATGATGATGATGATGATGATGATGATGATGATGATGATGATGATGCTGATGCTGATGATGATGATGATGATGACGAGGAGGAAGATGATTTGTCCTGAAAGGTGAAGTTGTTCTCTCCTTTTTGGGCCTCCTGGGGGGCCCTCGTCGCCACGGCTAGATCCGCACCGAAGTCAGCATGGAAATGCGCCCACAGAGAGGTCCAGGCAAGCGATCCAGACCATCACAGCAGACGCAGCAGCCAGCCGAGCTGAGCTGCCGAGCACCATGTCGGGCCGAGGTCGCCGGGGAGTGGGCGGCGACACCGACGACGAGACAGGCGAAGAGACGAGACGAGAGGAGGACGGAGGCAAGAGGAGACGGGGAGACGGGGAGGAGTACGAGGAGGAGGAGGAGGAGGAGGAGGAGGAGGAGGAGGAGGAGGAGGAGGAGGAGGAGCAGGAGGAGGAACAGGAGGAGGAGGAGGAGGAGGAGGAGGAGGAGGAGGAGGAGGAGAAGGACGAGGAGGAGGAGGAGGAGGAGGAGGAGGAAGAGCTGGGGCAAGGAGGAGTAGGAGGGATAGGAAGGAGACGGCAGAAACCGGCCGCGACAGTCCCTCCCCCCCCTGCTGGCGAGAACCAGCGACAGGCCACCTCGGCCCACCCGCCGACTCCAGGCCCTGGCCGGCAGCGGAGCGGCCGCGCCTCTTGGGCGCCCTCTTGCTGGAGCGCCCGAAAACTGGGGTCAAGTCGGGCATGTCCCTCTACAGGAGGAGCACTCAAACATAGTCACACAATAATCTGGGGACGATGCTTCAAACGTATTCTTGTGTATTCTATATGTTGTTGGTATTGTGTATTTCCCCCCAAAATCCGCGCGGCCTAAAACTGGGGGAGAGCGCCGGCAGGCGAAACTGAGGGGGAGGCGGCGGAGCACGCGCGACGAGGAGGTTGAGGCAAGGCGACTCACGGGGGGATCAGCAGCAGCAGAGGCAGGCAGGAGCGGGGGGGGGGGCAGGAGAGGGAGAGGGGGCAGGAGCAGAAGGAAGAGGAGCAGGAGCAGGAGCAGGAGCAGGAGCAGGAGCAGGAGGGGAAAGCGAGGAGCAGGAGGAGGACGAGGGCGCGGGGAAAAAAGCGAAGCAGGAACATCTTGGATTGCGCAGAAGCAAGACGCGGGAGGAGCTGGAGCGGGACCCAGACCCGCGACGCCATGATGTGCTCATCACGTCGAACCCCAGAGGTCTCGGCCCATTCTCTGGGACCTGCTCTTCTTCCCGAGTCGTTTTCTTGACGGTCCCGGAGCCCGGCGAGGGCCCCCAGATGCCGAATCTGGCTGAAAACCTCCCCTCGTGCTTTGCTTCATGGCCTGGGAGAGGTCTGGGGAGCCTGCCCCTTCACCACTCGTTGCGCACCACGCCGTTCGACAGCTGCGCGGCGGCCAGATTCCTCCGGTGGTCCACCAGCGCCAGCACCCGCGCGGTGTCCGCGGACGACAGCCGGCCCAGGGAGTGCCGGACCGAGCAGGGAGAAGAGAAGACTCTTAAATGAGCCTGCGCCGAGGAGGGAGAGGGGAGGAGGGAGAAGGGAGGAGGGAGTGGAGGAGGAGGAGCAGGAGGAGGAGGATTAGGAGGAGGAGGAGGAGGAGGAGGAGGAGGAGGGATAGAGGAGAAGGAGGAAATAGAGAAAAGGAGGGATCAAGCGTCCGAGCATCCGGGGCCGGAGCATCGGCGCCGCGTCGTCGACGCGTCGCCGATGCGCCGGCGCAGAGCAGCCAGGGGCGCTCCACGCCGAAGCCTGGAGAGGAGCAGGGGCAGACGCGGCACACGCCACCGGCTCTGCAGCCACACCCTCCGGCCGCGGAGCCCCTCCGCACGAGGGCCCGTGCGGCACACCTCTGGGATCACTGGGGCGGGCGGCCGCCGGGAGGGCCTGCGGGCCCCGCGGGCCTGCAGGGGGGAGGGCCCCGCGTGTGTGCCTTCGGAGAGTGCGCTGCAGCCGTGAGGCCAGGGTTCGGCACCGGAACGCCGCAAGGCGCCAGGAGATGGGCAGGGAGTCGCCGCCGTTCCACGTGATACCCAGGAGGCTTCTTGAGAACGAGCGCGGTCCTGCTCTGATCAGGGCTGGCCCCTCTGTTGGAAGCACGCCCGCGGCAGATCACAGTCTAGAACGCACAGCACATGATGGCACAGCGCGTAGCGAAGTGTAGCACTGGACATCACACGCATATCGTTCAATTACTACAACATTGTATTGTCAACCCGTGGCAATGTGATCCCGTTCGCGTAGCATCCGAGCTGCACTCGCAATTCATGTCACTAACCTGGAGCCTGGTATGCACCAACGATACGCTTATACCACCAACAATCACGAAACACCATCAAACAACGATTCAGCATATCATACGATTGCACACCATCTGCACCGCTTGGAAAGACCACGGCACGAGTGCATCAGATCGTACCACTATAGAACAGCCCAAAGCAAGAACAACATAGCAGATCATGCCATTCGCATTCGTTTAACATGATAACATGATACATGTTGGCACAATTGCAGAGGGCCGCGCAGATCACTCTAAGACTACGCATCAGACACGCAGGAAACATTCAGCATAGTCTCACATGGGAAATGTGTGCGCGGCACTGGAACGAGAACGCCATTTGAAAAGCAGCGACCTTCCATCCGCGCAACTGCTAGAAAGTCAAGCTGCATGATAAGCTCATCTGCGTAACTTGTGGGCGCGCTGTATTGATTTTAGGGAGGCGTTGCGCTGTATCCCTCAAGTCCATGAATTTGAAAAATAGCGCCTTCTTTCTGTGCGTTCAAAGTGTCTGACGAGAATGCCTCGAAGGCGTCCGAACCGAGAGCCGTAACTGGGCAAGGGGCCACCCTCCGTCCGACCAGCCTGCTGGAAACTTGCAAGTGCGCGGCAAGCCAGCGAGAGCACCTCCTTGGAACATTCACGACACACGTGCGCCGCACAATGGCGGTGTCTACTTCTTCAAAACCAGCCTCCACTCGGATGCGCTACTGCTGGAACATGATCGACCGAAAATCTTACGCCGTGGAGGCGTGTGTGGCGATCTGCCCGTACCTCCCTGCAAACGCCCTGTTGCGCAACGAAACGAGATGTGGTTTCGTGAGTCGGCGGAGAAAACGAAGGAGGACACAGACAACACCTCGCCCGACGAAGGACGAGGGACGAGGAGGAGGAGGAGGACGAGGAGGAGGAGGACGATGACAGAGGAGGGTCAAGGAGGAGGACGAAGGAGGTGGACGAGGAGGAGGAGGAGGAGAACCGAGTCACCCTCGGCGCCCTCGGTGACCACCATGTGGCCCTGGACTGGCTTCGGCCCTCTCTCTCCCTCCGCCGCCTCCTCCTCCTCCTCCTCCTCTTCCTCCTCCTCCCCCTCCCCCTCCCCCTCCTCCTCCTCCTCCTCCTCCTCCTCTCCTCCTCCTCCTCCTCCTCCTCCCTCCTCCCATTCCTCCCCCTTCTCCTCCTCCCTCTCTCTCCTCCTCCTCCTCCTCCTCCTCCTCCTCCTCCCTCCCTCCTCCTCCTCCTCCCCCTCCTCCTCTCCCCTCTCCTCCTCCTCCTCCTTCTCCTCCTTCTCCTCCTCCTCTTCCTCCTCCTCTGCCCCCTCATACTCCTCCTCACCCTCTTCCGCCATCTGCCGCCCTCCTGTTCCCTCCTCCTCCTCCTCCCGACCTCCTCGCTCCTCGAAGCCTCGCCCCCGCAAGCATCCTCCCTCCTCCTGCTCTTGCTGCCTCCTCCTGCTTCTCCCGCCTCCTGCTCCTCTGAACCTCCTCCCCCCACTCCTCCACCCTACTCCACCTCCAACCTCCTCCGACCGCTCCTGGACCTTGTCCCCCCCCGTACCGCCTCGGCATCGGCAGCGCCCCCGACGGGGCCACGGGGCCAGCTGCAGGCCGACGGTTCTGGCGCGGCTTGGATCCACCCCGGGGCGAAAGTCAAAACGAAAGGTCGCAAAGTCGTCCAACCCGTCCTGCCCCTCGAACCTCCTGCTCCTGCCTCATCCTCCTCTCTCGGGTCGGGTGAAAGGGGGGGATAGCAAAGGGGGGGGGGAGAATCAGCTCACGTAGCTGATTTTCCCAGCGCCTCCCGGCGCTGGAGGCGACTGTGCATCGAGGAACGGGCCACTCGGAGGGGCCGAAACCCGCTGCATGCAGCAAATTTCGCACCCCCCCTTTCCCAATCCCCCCCTTTCGTCCTGCCCCTCAAACCTCCTGCTCCTGCCCCATCCTCCTCTCCGCTCCTCCAACCTCTCCTCTGATTGTGGCTCTCGCCGGCGCCTCGACCTCTTGGGCGTTGCCTCATGGAGGGGCGATCCACGCGGGGACGAGGAGACGTGCACCTCTCGTGCCCCTTCTGGGACCCAGGGGGCCCCTTTCGGGCGGCAGCTGAACTCGCCAGAAGAAAACTCTGCCAGGCTGAACCCGGCCAGGTTCAGCTCGGTCGGCTGTTCCGACCAGACCAAGTTCAGCCTGGCCGAGTTCAGCGTGGTCGAGTTTCTCCCTTGTCTTTCGGGACCCTGAGGTAATCACAAGGTGCACTCTTCTTCACCCCCCCATTCTCCCAGACCCCGAACGTCATGACTTCCTGACGTCGACCCACCGAGGTCCCGACCAACCTCCGAGGGAACAGGCTTTCACCTTGCGCCGTTTTTGTTGACGGTCCTGGGGCCTGGCACAGGGGCGCCCCCCAGGAGGAGTAGGAGGAGGAGGAGGAGGAGGAGGAGGAGGAGGAGGAGGAGGAATGGAGGAATGGAGGAATGGAGGAATGGAGGAATGGAGGAGGAGGAGGCGGAGGAGGAGGAGGAGGAGGAGGGGGAGGAGGAGGAGGAGGAGGAGGAGGAGGAGGAGGAGGAGGAGGGGAAGGAGGAGGAGGAGGAGGAGGAGGAGGAGGAGGAGGAAAACCGACAAAGGGCGACACCCCCCCCCCGCCGTGGTTCGTGCCACGACGCGGGAACGTCGGGGCACTTCCCGTCGGGCCGCCGAAGCAGGAGCCCTTTTCGTTTGGGAGGGGCCCAGTGTCCCTCCATTTGTTTACAGCTCCTCTTCGGCTATCCTGAAGCTTGCTGTGGAAAGTCGAGGTTTAACGTGTGGAAAAAAGAGGGGCCTCGTTCCATATCTAGGGCTCCTTATGAACAGGGGACCTGTCGACCCCTATCCCAGGTCTCGTGGGGGGTTCGAAAGGGCCAGAAATTGAGGCCAAACCCTGGGATATACGACGGGGGGCGTCGATCCTCGATATGGGCTGCGTCCGAAATAGCTCCCTGGGAGTGTGTGTGTGTATATATATATATGTACATATACATATGTATGTGTATATATATATATAGTTATATAAATATGATACCGGAGAAAAGCCCAATCAGAATTTGTTTGGGGCTATAAGGCTATAGGGCAATAGGGCTATAGGGCTATAAGGCTACTATTGGGCTACAGGGCTATAGGGCGATAGGGATATAGGGCTATAAGGCTATAGGGATACAAGGCACCGGGCACCCGGGCACCCGGCACCCGGGCACCCACCCGGGCACCGGGCACCCGGGCACCCGGGCACCTGGGACCGGCCACCGAATCGGCGGCGAACCCGGGCACCCGGCACCCGGGCACCAGGGCACCTGGGCCCGGCCACCGAATCGGAGGCGAACCCGGGCACCCGGCACCCGGGCACCCGGGCACCCGGGCCCGGCCACCGAATCGGCGGCGAACCCGGGCACCCGGGCACCATATGGCACCCGGGCTTCGGGCCCGGCCACCGAATCGGCGGCGAACCTCACCTCAGCCTTTAATCCGCGAGGACCCCTACAGAGGCAAGCTCTGATTGGGGAATATCCCAAGCTTTCCCTCCTTTTCTGAGCGGGTCAGCTTCATTTTTCGTGGAAAAGCCGGGGGCTGGGATAGAAACACCGCCTGCGACTTATGACAGTGTTTCGATTGTATCGGCTACACGCAAGAGTGCCTGGGTGAGAGTGTGACCTTGGGTGCGCGGCTTTTTTGGGGCCGCGGGGTGGCCAAACACAAGCGCGCAGGGCGCCACTGCCGCCTCGCGCTCGGCGATCGGGGGACCCCAGTGGGCCCGCACGAAAGGTCACTCCAGCGAAGGGCCACTCGTACGTGTAGTCGACTGCATCGCCCCTCCTTGCGCTACGCCGACCTCGGGCGGAGGGCCCCAGCCCGGCCCGGCGGGGGGCCCGCTCGGCGGCAGGTCGCCGCGCGGCCCCGCCAGGAGGCCGGCGATCAGGCGCCAGAGGGCGCACGCGTCGGCCTGCAGCAGGCGGTGGCGCACGTCCCGCCGCTCCTCGGGCGCGCCGAAGGCCCTACAGTAGCTCCTCCTCCTCCTCCTCCTCCTCCTCCTCCTCCTCCTCCTCCTCCTTCCCCTCCTCCTCCTCCTCCTCCTCCTCCTCCTCCTCCTCCTCCTTCCCCTCCTCCTCCTCCTGCCCCTCCTCCTCCTCCGCCTCCTCCCCCTCCTCCTCCTCCTCCTCCCTCCTCCCCCTCCTCCTCCTCCTCCTCCTCCTCCTCCTCAGCTCGAGCACAATAAGAAGGAGCCGAACTCTACACGCCGACGCTGCTTCTGGCCCCGAACTGAAGCTTGCACACAGGAAAGCGGGTCGTGGTGTATACGGGGCCCTGGTGTATACATGTTTCGTCGTTGCCCCGGTAAGTGGATAGCAGAAGTATGCACCGCACCACCACGACGTCGTCCCCAACCCTCAAGAAGTCCTGGGATTGAAAAACGGCCCGCCACTTGTCATGTATATGTTCTTGATTCCGACGACGACCCTACAGTAGGAGCTCGACCAAAATAAACCTTCCACAATAAACCCAACCCTGAGACCCCAGGACGTCCATTGATCTTTGGTATGGAGGCGTCACGCATTCCATCGCAGAACCATCGAAACCAAAGAAGCCCAGGGCACCCTGGAGGCAAGCATGGTGTTTCTTGGCCCGGGTTTCCAATATACCCCCCTCGGGTCGTGACAAAAAAACACGACGGGAAGCTTCCAAATATTTGTGGCTTCTGGGGGCCCTCGCCGGGCCCCGGGATCGCGCGCAGCACGGGCTCGGGAGGAAGAGCAGGTCCCGGGGAACGGGTCGAGAGCTCTGGCGGTCGACGTTGGGAACAAATTATGGCGACGAGGGCCTGGGGAACAAGGGTGAACACCGTTGATCCGACCCCTATACCCAACGGCGTGGCCTGGGCCCCACTGGCCGATTTACCCCAGCAGAAGGGGATATAGGCTGTTCGTTCGGGTTTCGAGGGGTACATCCTCAACTAGGGTGGTACAATTGTGGGGCTCGGGATGGGGATGGGGATGCAGCAGGAGCTCGACCACAAGAAACCTTCCACACGAACGCCCAATCCTGAGACCCCAGGACGTCCATTGACTTGTGGTGTGGGAGCGTCGCGCTCGACATGGCAAAACCATCGATACTTCTTACCCGAGAAGTCCAGGGCACCGTGGAGGCAAGCAGGGTGTTCCTTGGCATGGGCGTCCACTGCAGGGATCGGTCCCACGAGGCCGAGGGGGGCCCAGGAGCGAGGCGGAGTGGGCACCTCCGGCCGTCTCGCTCTTCTCGAGCCATGCCAGACCTCTGTGGACCCTCCGCAGGACTCGGGCGGGTGGTAATGGGGAGTGGCCCACATGGGGGACGAAGGAAACGGGGCCCCTCAGGGCCTCTGCTGGCTCCAACAGGGGAACCTGAAGGGCCTCTTTTGGGCTCTTTTTGTTCTTCACCTCCTATTTCGGTCTCCCGCCATTTAGGTCACCCCCCATTACCTCTAGGTCGGGCCTGTCCCCCTACAGGCGGATTCTGGACGACAAATGAAACAGAGTCCCAACATACCCAGGACACATTCCAAAACACGAAGACAAATCGTCCCCCGACAATCTTTTACCATCTTCGAATGCTCCTCCTGTAGAGGGGGGCAGGCCCGACTTCACACTTCTGGGCGACCCAAAAGGTGGTCCAGCTGCAAAGGGGGGGTGCAATAGATTTTGGGCAATTGTATTGCAAACGTATCGCGCTGGAGAATTGTATTGCATTGTATTGCAACTAATGCATTGCACGCGAAACGCCAGCAATACATTTGCGCCCCGGAATGCACTGCACGCCCCAAATGCATGGCAACCCCGCAAATCTATTGCACCAAATCTATTGCACCACCCCCTTGTCGCTGGACCCCCTCTTGGGCCAACCCGAACACCACCACCCGCCCGACCCAGACCGACGGGGCGCTCCGCTGCCAGGGCCCCCGGCCTCCCAGGAGCCCCCCCCTGGGGGGGCGGACGCCTCAGACCCTCGGGGCGGAGGCTCCGGCGGGCGTGGCCGGCGCAGGCCGGCAGGCAAGCAGCACCGAGGGCGGCTCCCTTTGAAAACCCCCTCGGGCCATGGGAAGATCGTGGCTGTCCTGTTGTTCTGCCTCTTCGGCCTCCCGCTTGCCGTCGCTCGGACGTCCATTTCCCGTGCATGTGTTCGGTCTCGTGCGTGTTGCTTTTGCTCGGTGGTCCAGGATGGTCCTCGATGGCTTTCGACGGAAAAAAATGCACACGTCCGAGCGATGCCAAGCCCGGGGCCCTTACCTCTGGACGCCCGAAATGGGCACGGAAAGAATGGGCACAATGCCCAACAGCAAATGTTGTCCCAACCAACAGCGGCCGCTGTTGGGCGGGCGACCACCCGTCTCGAATGGACACAGGCCGCGGCGGTGTGGACAGCGAATCCTGTTCACAAGGAACAGGAACTGCTGTCGGGCATTGTACCCATTCTTTCGGTACCCATTTCGGGCGTCCAGATCGATGGCTTCCGCCGAGAAAACATGCACGCGTCCGAGGGATGCCACGCCCGTGGCCCTGACCCGGCCTCGGGGGCCGCGTAGAAACGACGCAGCACGAGCAGCCGGTCTCTCGGGGGAGGGGCGGAGACCTCTCGGGGTCGCCGTGCTGAGCAGTGCATGACGTCGGGGGTCTGGTGGGAGGGTGGCTCTGCGGGTGAAAGCCGGCAAGCGCTCGGCGGGCCCTGGGAAAAACATCGGGGCACCTTGCTATGACCGGCTCCGCCTTGCAGTTCGTGTCCCCGGTTCCGTCGCCGCCATGATTTTAGTTCCGGCTCCCGCTCCAATTTCCGGAACACTGCTTGCCTTGTCAGAGGCAAGTGTTGAACGCTATTCTTGGGAGCGGCGAACCACACTTACATGCCGCTTCCGGGGCCCACTATGAGGCCCGAGACATGTGGGCAATACGCGCGCGCGGAGGGACGGCAGAAGAAGCGTATATTGAAAGACACGGGCGAGGGGCTTGAGATCTGGAGAACATCATAACCCCAGCCATGATAGAGTCAAAAACCCTAATAAGGACGCGCGGTAAGGACGCAAGACCCTTGGAAGCCGAAGTTGGGATTTTGGGGGCGGCGGACGACGAAAACCTCAAGGACGCAAGAGCAAGGAAGAGCAAGGACGCAAGGGTACCCTGAGCAAAGTCGCGCGTCCTTATTAGGGTTTCTGACTGTATGCACGCACCCCTCGTCTTCACCCCACTCTTTGAGCATCGTTGCTCGATCCGTATCTCCAGACGGCGTGGCCAGGGCCCCACTGGCCGATTTCCCTGCCTAGATGGGGATATGGGCCGTTTCCTTTGGGTTTTGCGGGGTACATCCCCAACTGGGAGGGTGAGATGGTGGGGGTCTGGATGGGGTTGGGGATGGGGATGGAGATAGGGGTCGGTTAAGCGATGCTGACTCTGGGGCGCCCCCGAGGCTCCCCGATGGCGCTGCGATAGTACACCGGGGCCCAGTTCAGGAACGCGACCGTGCCCTCGATGCCTCCAAGCGCCTGCTCTGGACCCCCCGCCTCGAACGCGGCGGTGTACGTATCCTGGGCAGGGGGTGGTAGCGTAGCAACAGCGACCGGATCTACACCCTGCGAAATGCTTTAGAAATCATGGGTTAAGAAATTCATAGTCTGAGAACCTGAATAAAAACCCAGAATGTCTATTCAAATCTTGGAATTTACATTGAAACATTAAGAATAATCGAGACTCTGGCCGAAAACTTAAGTTTTCTTAAGCATCGCCTAAGGTGTACGTCGAAGGCGCGTGGACGCGACGCGGCGGTGCACGTGTCCTAGAGGGGGGGGGGCAGCGTAGCAACAGCGGCCGACTCTGCGCCAAAGGCGCGCGGACGCGAGCAATAGCATAGAGATTGTGTCTTATTTCGAGTAACAGACGTTAACCCTTAGGCGGGGTGGGGCACGTCGGGGCGAGGGAGCGCGGCGATCCTCGTAGCACGCGCGAGCGCCAACATGCAGGGGGGGATGGGTGGGGCGGGGTCCAGCCCCGCTCCCACACGTGCGATCGTTATCCTTAACTGGAGGAGGGAAGGGCGGCCCAGGTAGCGACCGTTGCGCGCCGGAGGCAACAAAAATCAGAGGCAACAACGTGGAATGGGGACTCCCGGCTGCCATGTCCCGGCGGAGAACCGCGGGCAACACGTTCTCCCCCTCCTCCTCCTCCTCCTCCTCCTCCTCCTCCTCCTCCTGCTCCTCCTCCTCCTCCTCCTCCTCTTTCTCCTCCTCCTCCTCATCGGCCTCTTCCTCCTTCTCATCCTCGAGGCCCTCCATCTTACTACCGTGCCATTGGGTCTCCTCCTCCAATGGCACCTGCTCTCGTAATCCCCTGAAGCGCGGCCACCCCCGCATTCCCTCATTACCCATCGTCGCCTCCTGGCCGCCCTGCCCATCCTCCTCTTCCCGCTCCCTCTCTTCCTCATCTTCCTCTCCCTCCCCCTCATCCGTTTCTTCCTCGTACTCTTGCACCTCCTGCTCCTCGGGAGGTTGCGCTCGCGGACGGGTTGACATTCGTCGCCTGCTTGCCGTTGCGGCTGTGCCCGCGGGCGGGTTGAACTGTGTCGCTTGGCTGCGGTTCCCCCAGCAGCCCTCGAAAGTGGCAACGGTTTGACACTTCGCAGCCACCCAAAGATGGTGAGGTCCCCTTTGGGTCTCCGTGGGACCCCACCGTGCTGGCCCCGCCCAGCAGCCCTCGAAACTGGCGACAGTTTCATACTTCGCAGCCCCCAGGGACGGCGAGGCCCTGTCTGGGTCTGCGCGGGACCCCTCCGTGCTGGTTTTTGCACGCCCAGCCCTCGAAAGTGGCGACGGTTCACACTTCGCAGCCCCCCAGGGATGGCGAGGTCTGGTTTGGATCTGCGCGGGACCCCGCTGCGCTGCCCAGCAGCACTCCTTCCCCAGCAGCCCTCGAAAGTGGCGACAACTCAAACGTTGCAGCCTCCCAGGAATGGCGAGGTCCCGTGTGGGTCTGCGTGGGGCCCCACTGTGCTGGCTTCCTCAGCAACCCTCGAAAGTGGCGACAACTTCACCCTTCGCAGCCACTCAGGGATGGTGAGGTTCCGTTTGGGTCTGCGTGGGATCCCAGTGTGCTGGCCCCCCAGCACCCTTGAAAGTGGCGACAGCTTCATACTTTGCAGCCACCCAGGGATGGCGAGGTTCCGTTTGAGCCTGCGTGAGGCCCCACTGTGCTGGCTCCCCCAGCAGTGCTCGAAAGTGGCGACAGTTTCATACTTCGCAGCCACCAGGGATGACAAGGTCCCGATTGGGTCTGCGCGGGAACCCACTGTGCTGGCTCCCCCAGGAGCCTCCGAAAGTGGCGACAATTCCACTCTTTGCAGCCACCCAGGGATGGCGAAATTCCATGTGGGTCTGCGCGGGACCCCGCTGTGCCGGCCCCGCCCAGCAGCCCTCGAAAGTGGCGACAGTTTCAAACTTCCCAGCCCCCCGGGGATGGCGAAACCGCGTTTAGGTTTGCGTGGGGCCCCACTGTGCTGGCCCCCTTCAAGCAACCCTCGAAAATGGCGACCCTTTCGCACTTCACAGCCCTCCAGGGACGGCGAAATCCCATTTGGGTCTTCGCGGGTCCCCACTGTGCTGGCTCCCCCAACGGGCATGCGCGAGTGGGGCAGAGCTCGCTCCCCCAGCAGGCATGCGCAGACAGGCACAGGCAGGCGAAAGGGAGACACAGGGCGGGAGGAAAAGGAGGAAACGGGAGCTGGCAAACACACTGCCTTATTCAAAACGAGAACCCAACCAAGGGAGGGATGGGCAACAGAAAACGTGCGTTCGCGCTCCTGCAGATTCTGAAAACACAAAATGCATGTTTCCAACATTGTCATCAAAGTGTACCAAGCGTGCCCCTCGCGCGCGCATGTCGCATGTCTACATCGCTCGAACGCCCTCGCGCGCGTGCTGTCGCGAGTCCGTTTTTTTTTCCTTCCAAACATCAAAAACGAGTGGCCCGGAAAACATATGAACCATATGGTTGTGCAGCGTCGGTTCAAAAATGCCTGCGCTCGCGCTCCTGCAAGAACAATTTCAACATGCCATCAAAATACTGACCATCGGCCCTCTCACGCCGCATGTCGAAATTATTCGCACGCCCTTGCGCGCGTGCTGAAGGGGGGGGAACGATCCGTGTCTAATCATGCCACGCGGACCACTCTCGCGCGTCGGCCGCGCGCGCATGTCGATCTCTTTCCAATGCCATGATCACTGGCGCGAAGACGCCGTAATCGTCGCCCGCGTGATCAGCATCGGCGCCGTCTCTGGCCGCGCCGTCGTCATTGTCACCATCGTCGCAAGCATCGTTACTGGCATCATCTTGTCTACCGTTGTCGACGTTGCCACGATACCGCGCTAGCCGTAGTCGCCGATTTGCACTGATGTGCCCGCTGGGAAGTGGCCGGCGGCCAGCGCCGCCGCGGCCGCGTCGGTCGCGCCTAACTAGCCGGCCGCTGCGCGCGCGAGCATGCGCGGGCAAGCGTGGCCGCGGAGATGCACCAGCCAGCGCCGAGCACTCATCGCAATCGCCGGCGCTTGGGTGTCGCAAACCAAGTTGCGGGCGGGTGAGAGGGATGACTGCGCGAGCACTGGAGTCGACAACTCACTGCGAACAGAAATTCACTACACCACTTGGATTTTCCGCCCAAGAAAATCACGGCCCGCACCCCCTCACCACCCTTGGTTTGGGCGCCACCCCATGGGATGATGCAACATGCGTGTGATTCTGCCCCGCCGTCCATATCAAGTATGCTTTCCTGCGAGCCCAGCCCAGCCGGCGTCGACGCCCCCCCCCCGCGCCCCCGCCTCGCCCACCCTCGCCCGCACTTTGTGCGCGCGCTCGGTTTCAAAAACAATCAATGTTCAAGAGCCCCATGCAAAAGCAACGAGGAAGGCCCCGCGCGCGCGGCGTCGCGCGCGCATGCTGAATGACTGCAGCAAGCTAGACGTTTCGCAAAGAATTTAAGATCGAGGTGCCCGAAAAGGAATGGAAACAAAAACAATGGTTTTGAAACGTGATGTCTCGAAAGATCTGCGCGCGCTCTGGCAAATCCTCACGAAAACCATCCAAGTTGAATGTCGGAATCATTCGAGCGCCCGCGCGCGCTTGCTGGGGGCGCGACACCTGTCGGATCATGCCGCGCAGGCCACTCGCGCCGGTCGGCCGCGCGCGCATGTCGAAATGCGCCCAGTGCCATAATCTCCGACGCGCGGGCGCTACCAACGTCACCGGCGCGCCAGCATCAGCGCCGCCATTGGCCTTGCCGTCGCCATCGTCACCGCGGCCATCAGCGCGCCTGCCGTCATCGTCGCGTCTGCCGTTGTCGGCGTCGCCGCGATGCGGCGCCCGGCTGAGTCACCGACTCGAACTGACGTGCCCGCGGCGGTCAGCGCCGCCGCAGCCGCGCCCGTCGCGCCAGACTAGTTGGCCGCTCCGAGCGCGAGTCCGCGCGCGCATGCGCGGCCGCGGCGACGCGCCAGCCAGCGCCAAGCAGTCATCGCAATTGCCGCCGCATTGCTTCTGCGCGACAAGGCGCGGGCGGGCGGGTGGCGCGATTGCGCTGGCAGCGGAGTGGGCCTCGTCAAGTTCGGCCGGGTGAACTGCGCCGCTTAGATTGCGCCGCGTGGATTTGTTGCAATAGACCCCCCCCCCACTGGGATTGCCACTCCCCCCTCGGATACTGCAAATTGCATCTGATTCTGCCTCCTTGTCCATGTTCCAAACGAGTTGATGCCGTGTCAGCTAGACCTGGTATCGCCCCCCGCGCCCATGTCAAATAATACCATGCGGTGCGCACGCGTTGATCGAGGATGAGCAGAATGCACGAACCCCCGGCCACACGCGGGCCACATGCGCGCGCGCAAGACGAAATCCTTCCAAGACATGTGTTTTCGCTGCGACTGCAGCGCAACAGCATCAAATACCCAGCGGCTTTTCAACGAAGCGCTTTCAACATTTCATCCCGCGCGTTCTTGCGGATGTCTAGAAAACCCCATGCTTGTCAACCTGGAACGGAGGGGTTCGCGCGCGCATGTCGAACTTGTCTCAATGCCCTCGCGCGCTTGCCAGAGGCATGATTCCTGTCGCAAAAAAAGATGCGGGGCACTGTCGTCGTCATCGTTGTCGACGCCGTCGTCCGCGCTGTCTCCCGCAAGATGGACTTTGCCCGCGCGACGAGCGTCCGCGCGCCAATGAACGCGATGGAATTATCGGAGGCGCTCCACGCTGTAACTGCACTCGCGACCTTATTAGTTCTGCCAACCACATCATCGTCGTTTGTCGACGCTGTCGCCCGCGCTGTCTCCCGCAAGATGGACTATGCCCGCGCCGCGGGGGTCCGCGTGCCAATGGGTTCGATGAAAACTGCGGACGAGCTCCACGCTGTGACTGCAGTCGCGACCTCATGAGTTCTGCCGACCAAGATGCGGGTGGGAGGGTGGGATGCTTGCACGAGCATGGGAGGTGGCCACGCGCGGCGCAGCTTGGCCAATTAAATTGCGTAGGTTGCACCGCATATACAGCGCAA